CTGCACTTTCTCCCTCCCCCACCTGCTCTCTCCTAATTCACACCCTTCGTTGAATATGAAAGTAAGACGCACGTGTTTTAAAAGAGATTCAAAACAGAGGCTGTTTCTTTCTACCTCCGCCTCGTACAATTACAGTATGGCATAATTGTTGAAAAGGTGTACTCAGGGATTTATGGCCAACTATTCAACCAAGGATTTTAGGTCTTTTCCATACCTATCAATGAAACATATTTCTTATTTGCCCTTTTTAGACAACGTCTTCACTCGTGGTGATTTGGATTACCGTAATCTGGTATTGGATGCAAACTCGGCCTCTTTGTACGTAGGTGCTCGTGGACGAATTTTCCGGTTATGGGCCTACAACGTGAACGATACTTCAGAAAACTTGGTGAGTAGCGTCATCATTTTTACCGTAAACCTGTCGCTACAGTATCAAACACTGCTTTGATAGACCAACTGCACCTGAAAGGTATAAGTCCATCTGGATATACAGGAATCCGCGAGTTACTCAGAGCTTTCCCTTCAATCAATAATTGTGCAAGAATAAATAAATAAATAAATAAACCTTAAAGGTATATGTCCATCTGGATATACAGGAATCCACGAGCGACTCAGAGCTTTTCCATCAATCAATAATTGTGCAAGAATAAATAAATAAATAAATAAATAAACTACTGAGATATAAAAGTATTCATATATTAGGACATTCTTTGAGCAGTAATTGAGATTTTCTGACCAATCAGCGTTCGAATTCTGACGTACAGCCTTATTGATAGGGTTTGAGCCAATCAGAGCGCGAGCTTCATGGACCATTCATGGCCCAGGGCTGTCTGGTCACATAAGTTTTTAGCGGGAAGTGATTTACAGGAGAAGACCGTTGGATTTGAGTATATTTAAGAAAATTTATTTCAGTTTGCCGATCTCCGTGTTACCGTACCTTCGCCTGAGTTGTCCGAATGTCGGGCGCTGGGTAACTCGGCCGAAGAATGTCAACCATCAACGAGATTCATGGCTTTGACGGACAACAGGGAACGACTTTATGTGAGTATTTCGTCCCGCATGCGGTAGCCAAATTACTGAATCTGGGTTTTCCTCCGTGAAACACAAGCCTTTTCAGGTATGCTCAGCTGTCGCCATGCGCCCAGAGATTCGAGTACTGGATGCCGTTACTCTGCGCGATCGCCAGGAACCCCGAACAGAGATCGGCATCTGTGCCCCTGATGCAAACGTCAACGCAACTGCAGTCATAGTAGGTAAGGAACTCTGGACGAGTTTCTGCCGTACTTTTTCCGAAATATGCCCTCATTGCAGAATGGGGAAATCCCAGCGAGCTGCCATCAGTGTATTCGGGTATACGAACCGGCATGGCCGGTGAAAACCATTTGATTTATCGGCCAGCCCTTGTCGACAAGGGAAAAGAAGTACACTCCAGCTTGAGAACTGTTTACACCGACAATCGGTGGTTATACGGTAAGTGATCATGAGTCTCTTCTATCAGAGGTGCGAACTTCTACATAACTTGGATTTGAGTCTGCCATCAAGCAGGGCAGTTTTACTTACGACTTCACGTAGTGCCTTTACTACAGTGGTTCTCACTATACACACTTAGTATTTCCTCAAGGAAAACACGGTTTCCCTCCCCCTTCCCCTCCCCTCCAAAAAAATAGTTAAATATTGTACCGTAGCTAGGAGAAACGCTAAAATTAATCCGGTATTGTCCTTGATAACCACCACCATTTTTCAATTGTATCAGTTTTTCGGACCATTGTGATGTAAAATGATATAATGAGATAGTTACAACATGAAGTTGGAATACGCCATGCACTCTTATAATATTTGGACCGCGTAAGTAGTTGATAGTGAAATGTAGTTTTAGTGATATTTCTCCTAGGTGATACTGAGTTCCCCTGGAAAAAAAACAGCTTCGCGCTCCGGCAGGTACTTTTGGTAGAGCCATTTTCAAAATTGTCCACGATCGATTGTCCATTAATCTTGTTGATTCGAGGGTATGAATTATTTTCCCCGGGTTCTAAATGAGCTTCCGAGCTTTGTTAACAAAATTACTTTGCCAACGGTTCCATTCTGGCGAATCGCATTCTTTAGAGCCTGCAAAGTCGAAAGCCTACTTTTAATTCATATACTTCCTTTACGAGTAGCGGAAGCGAAGTTCCAGGGTAATATCCGAAAGGGGTAATAGAGAAGGATTGGTTTTTTCGTAGAGAGGACTGGTAATAGACACCATAGACTTCAAGTTCTCTCATGATGTTTTAGATGTAAATTCTTTTTGAATGTAATTCGTAGAAATTGTTGACAAACTTGCTTTGTTATTAATCTCGGGGACTTAGTATAACACAAACAGCTCAGTCCTACTACTCCTATATGGATAAGAACTATTTTGGTTTGTATCGAAGACAACAGCCTCTTATATAAATCCGTACACAACCCAGCTGTAGTGTCTGAAGCATACGGCACTCTCATCGATTCGGTCCTAACAACGCTTATAGAAGAATAGCAATCGAGTTACGCTCAGCGTTATTGCATTAACTAACAGGGAGGTATAGAAGCAAGCCGTGCTGCAAATTTTTAGAACAGCAATTGGCACCTTGCCAGGGGATCGATATTCAGCTTTTCTGATCATTCGTGAGCCTTTAACTTCAAGAATGATAAGGGAAAAATAATTAAAATCGCCCAAGAGTTGTCTTCTGTCAGGGAATCATCCTCTTCGCCAACCTTCTCACCCCCTCCCGATCATTCTCAACTTAAAATACTAAAAGGGCTCCACTCAAACGTTTATTTTCTAATTTTTTTGATTAGGCCACAGATATTTGCATAGCTTGCATACGCCCCCAATACAATTCTAAATTGTAGCTGAAAAAGATCGCATGGCGCATCCAACCAATCGTCATAGCCCAGAAGTCGCTTGTGATCGATCCCATCTTTTCAGAACCTCAATTTGTCGGCTCTTTCGATGTAGGAGAGCACGTGTACTTTTTCTTCCGTGAAATCGCCATAGAAAGCGGACCAGAACGGAGAGTTTATAGTCGAGTGGCGAGAGTGTGCAAGGTAAGGGATTGTCGACGAAGAACACAAGTAACGTGCACCTCAAACGATACCAACCAACATGTTCATTTTCCAGAAAGACATCGGTGGACGAGTTGTCCTACGTCAAGTGTGGACATCATTTTTGAAAGCTCGTCTGAACTGTTCTATCTCAGCACAATACCCCTACTATTTTGACCGTATACGTAAGTACTGCCATTCTTTTCTGGTTATTTGTGGCCACCGCGGCTGCAGAGCTTTTACTGTAGCTTACCGTACCCTTTCCAGAAGCCGTCACTCGTGTCGAGACATCCGATGACACGCTTTTTTATGCAACAATGAGCACTTCGGAGACGGCTTTCGTTACCTCGGCGATTTGCGTATTCTCGTTTAAAAGCATCAATCAGGTACGACTTTCTCAGAAATTTAGGCAATCAGCCTTAGTTGATGACTTTCACCATTCAGCTTTTCCATCACGGCTTTTTCGTCGATCCAAATAGCCCCAACTGGCTACCATTACCCGCTGACACTGTGCCAGAGCATCGCCCTGGAACGGTGAGTTATCTGATATCACCTTCTTATAAGGCATCGGAATTGGACGATTCTTTTTCAGTGCGTTTCCAACTCGCACTCACTGTCTGATTCCGACTTACACTTTGCAAAGTCCCACCTTTTGATGGCCGAGCCTGTGTCAGGTTTGTGATTTCTGCGCCCTTGTTTTAATCGATAATCGATTTCCGATAAACGTTAACATTCAGGTGGAATGCCAATATTAGCTACTCGTGACGTAGTCTTCACACATATTGCTGTGGACGTGCGTAGTGAGCAGAATGTGATCTTCGCATTGGATGGAAGGTGAGCAGTACAGAGTTTGACGACCTTAGTCTTACGATTCTGAACTTAACCGGGATACATGGCGCATTCTAAAGTGTATCAATATTCGAACCTTGCCAATGCTGTAAACTTCACAAACAAGTATGTATTTTTTTGGCACTTTGCGGATCAACGTATTTAACCCATAGGTCAGTCGCAGTAGAGATAAGGCACAAATACTTGTTCCGATCACATAAACTGATACACTAGTATTGTCTCATTAACTGCACCGCAGCCGCGACGCACCTATCGCTCCGCCCACTCTGGGCATGCGTCGTAATGCAGCTGGAATCGAGCGCATTGGTCATTATTTATATAAGTTGAAAGAAAATCTGATAGATCCCTATAGCATAACCTTAACGTCATGATAAAAGACTCGAGTAATCTACAATCAGAAAAAATGATGCGACAGAAAGTCGGGTGGGAAGAGTATGGTGCATATTTTGAGAACTTTTACCTCGTGATCCGGTACTGCTATAACTTTTAGGAAACCATTTCATCGCATGCCGACATCTAGTAACTTTTTGGAGGAAAAAGTCCTTACTGGAACATCTCAATTTACTTTTAGGTCAAACACTCTCTGGAAAGTTTCACACTGGCGTGAAGGTAACACATGGAAATGGTTAGAGCTGGAGAAAAGAGAAGTAGCGGCTGGAGGACCCATCAAGGCCATGGCTCTCCTGCCTGCAGGTAAAAAATTGTATTACATTTGTATTTCCAACATAATTTTCATAAATAAGGATTTCTAAAGCATAGACAACTCAGTATTTTTTCCATTTTCTTACTAACTTTTTCACATTTCTGTCAAAATAAATCTTATGAAATGAGAATGGTAGAGTCAAAGCTTCTCGTGTCACCACCAAACCCTATTCCTTGTTTCTTTACAGAATTCGTCTACTTTGCATCTCGTTCTGCAGTGACTCAATTTACTCTGGCAGCTTGTTCCATGTATTCATCATGCACCCTATGTGCCGTTGATCCGTACTGCAGTTGGCACGTAGCCAGAGCAGCTTGCTACCCACGAGAAAAGGCTCATGGTCAGAGTCTAGGGTAAGTCACATGGAACTCGTTCTATAAGTTAATTTTTTTACATTTTACTCCCTATCAGATGGATCTCTTCGTGGGCGGGACGTGGTTCGTCCGAATGTTCCGCCTCTGCTAAACCCCGGACAATATCGGCCTACCCTGGTGACACGATACACTTACTCGGTGCTGCCGGTGCTGTTTGGAAACGTGATGGGAACGAGTAAGTTGTTCTGTAAACGGCAAGGGTCTGGAAAAAACCCCGCCTATATTCAGAATCACACCCTCTTCCCGTTTCCTGTCCACCGACGCTGGTGGTCTGGTGATCATGGAAGTGTCGCGTGAAGATAACGCCGACTATGAATGCTTTGTAAATAGACGTCAAATAATCAAATATCGATTAGTGGTAGATCATGGTGAGTTGTGGTTTTATACACTCCACTACCTTACACTAAAATGGGCATAATTACAGAGGAATGCACCAAACCACGATCAGTGGAAGCCTACAAGTCCTGCCAGCGAGAATGGTGCAAAAAAGCCGACCAGTACAAGGCTGCGTTGGCCGATTGGCATGATGCCAAACGTCGTAATGTAAGTTTGCCTACTGTAGCGTTACAGTAACCGAAAACAGAAAGACTGCCAGAACGATACCTATCGTTACAGACACAATGCCTCGTAAACGACTCGAGAAGCAATATGGAGAATACGATCGAATAATCGTTAGNTCATATATTAGGACATTCTTTGAGCAGCAATTGAGATTTTCTGACCAATCAGCGCTCGAATTCTGATGTACAGCCATATTGGTAAGGTTTGAGCCAATCAGAGCGCGAGCTTCATGGACCATT